TAAAAACAATCTTGTTTTACATACCAATCCCAGTTCCCTCTCCCTCCCACCCTCCCACCCTCCCATTCCCCTCCCACCCCTCTTCCCACCCACCATCCACTCCTCAAGGAGGGTGAGGCTTCCCGTAGGGGATCATCAAACTCTGTCACATCATTTGGGGCAGGACCTAAGTCCTCCCTCCCCTGTGTATCTAGGCTGAGAGAGTAACCCTCCATAAGGAATGGGCTCCCAAAGCCCATTCATACACTAGGGAAAAATACTGGTTCCTCTGCCAGAGGCCCCATAGACTGACCAAGCGCCCCAACTGACACTCATGTGTAGGGGACCTAGTTCAATCTTATGCTGGTTCCCTGGTTGTCAGTCTGGGGTCTGTGAATTCCCACCTGCTAGGGTCAGCTGTTTCTGTGGGTTTCCCCAGCATGATCTTGACCCCTTTGCTCATTACTTCCCCTCTCTATAACTGGACTTCAAGAGTTCGGCCCAGTGCTTAGCTGTGAATCTCTGCTTCTGCTTACATCAGCTACTGGATGAAGGCTCTATGATGGCATTTAAGGTAATTCTTTTAAAAGAAAAATCAATCACTTCCTCTATAAACTGAAATTGTTATATTTCTCTATTCCCGTTTCCTGGATTCTCACCTGGTTCTGCCTCTTAGGGGTAGGATTGAAGGGCCCTTAGGAAATACCAAGTCACAGACTAGAAAAGGAAAAGAATAAAAAGTTCTTGAGCTTCTTATATTTTCTGGGAATTATGGTCTGTTATATATAACAATATTTTTCAAGCCTTGGGTTCCTCATCTTTAAAACGCCAATTAAAAGGGATGTTCTTAGAGCTGGGAGGCTTACATGAGAGTCGAGTGTACAGCCCTTACCACAGCACCAGACACACTCACGGTACAAGTTTGCTGTGGTTATTCACTGTGGCCCTCACAACAACAATAGTAGTATGTAAGTTGGAGTTCAGTGTGGTTCAGCAACTTGCCATAGTCACACATCTGCTAAGTGGCAGGTCTAGGGTAGAAACACAGGCAGCCAATGGACAATCTCCTTTTGTTACTTCCTTCCACCTGAGGAGTGCCCAAACCACCATCCTCCCCTTTCAGGGCAGACCTAATGCCCTGAGCCCAGGCCCAAGGTCTGCCAGCTGTGGTTCAGATTTCTCCATGGTGAATGTCTGAAAGCACACAAACACCCTTACGAGGTTCACTGTGATCTCATTAACAGGGACCCTGTTTCCCTGTGCACAACCCTCCCAATGGTGCACTTGCCCCCCAGACCCCAGCACTGTGCTCATGGGTGTTCCACTTTGCGTGAACGGAGCTGGGGAGAGTTGGTCCAGGAGCAAGCACGTGACAGCTGGCAGCTCTCCCAAGGTTTACTTGGCCCCACCCCCCTCTTTCTCCTTTCTCCGTCTTGCTGCCCCGCCCCATTTCAGCAGCAGAGACCTTTTCTCTCCAGGCCCAGGGCACAAACCCTGCACTTCCGAAGGAAACAAGCGCTGAATAGATTTAGCAGGTTCTGATAAATGTCACGTTTATTTTGGTGCCAATAGAGTCACTGCATCTTAATTAAGACCCCACCCCACCCCCCACCCTGCCCCAGATGTTGGTGCTGATGGGAATGACACACGCCACAGACTCTACTGACACCGGGAAAATAAGGTTCCTGTAAGCCAGTGCTGGGAAGTGGTGCTGGGCTTGGCCCTTCCCCACAAGGACACTTTCTAGGGGTCTGGTTCTCCCAACCAAGTCTTTCTGATACTCCTTTTCCAGCTCCAGTTTCCTCATCATAAGGAAGAAAGAACCATCTCTTGCCACCCTAGGACACCTCCCTGCTGAGAAGCAGGGTGATGTTCTAAGCCTGTTTGCTGATTCTAATTGATTCCAAGCCGCAGGCCCCAGGGAATAGGCCAGGGAGAGAGAGAGGTTGGCTGGGGGAGTAGAGCAGCTACGTGGGCGGAGCTGAATTGGGTGGCTGAGCCAGCAACTTCCAGCCTGCCAGAGCGCACAGATTCCAGCCCCTCGTCCAGAAAGCTCCACCTAGGATAGGAACCAAGGCCCTGGAGGGAGGAGGTTGCTGGTAGGGGTGAGGCCAGAAGCATAGGCCATCTTTTCATTTGGCTCTCAGTAACTGGAGTGAAAGACAAAAGATACAGACAGACCTGACTCCCAGCGCACACCCTGTCACCCCCATCCAACCAGCTTCAAATGCCTCTGGACAGGAGAGCACATGAGGTGATGGCTGGAAGTCAGGAGGCCCTTGTGACTCTCTCCCACCCACAGTAGACTGCATTTTGCTGAGCCTAGGTGTTCTCCCGAGGTTCCTTCTATAGATTTTATGTTCTCAAAGCTTTTCTTTTGGACGTAATTATGAACCTAACCCTACAACTGTATAGTTGGAGTAAGGAGAAGGTGTTAGGATGTGTCAGAGGGAAACTTGGGGAAGTGCGCGTCACAGGCCTATGGTAGAGCCTGAGATAAGGGATAAGGTTAGGACAGCCATGCCAGTGTGCTGAGAGGGTGATCTCAGGAAACAACAGCAGAGACCAGGAAGAGTACAATCAGGAGGAGGAAGCCGCTTAGGGATGCATCACTATGAAAGTGGCCATCTTCAGCAGTGGGACCCCTTCACTCTGAGCATCTCTGTAGTACTGATTCTCCCACTCCCCCATACTAGTGGGTTGGTTCCTCGAAAGGATTTCCCGGCCTGCCCACCCTCAACTGGAGAATCACATGTTTGGAAACAGGAGGTATCATGGGAGCGACATCAACAGCATCTTCTACATGGGTGACCTAAAAATTGGCCAGGGGAGGCATCTGGAACATAAATTGAAATACCCATTTTAGAAAGTTCACTGAGGCAAAAAGAAGCAAGAAGCCTGGTTCATGATCATATAGCTAGGTTTGACTTGAGCTGGTCATCCGCCTGAAGCTTTTCAGTGGTCACTTCATCCCAGCAGAAATGACTGTTCCTGTCACATCTTGTCTCCAATTTAGGATGGTTGTCACACTACACTGTAATGGCCTATGATAAACCGACAGTCATCTGCATGTGCTCTTCACCCCTGAGCCATCTCTCCAGCCTTGAGACAACTGGTTTTTTTTTTTTTAATTTTTAAAAATTTGTTTTGATTTCGTTTAACATTTCAACCACAGTTCTCTTTCCCATCCCCTCACCCTCTCCTAACCCACCCTCAGTCCACTCCTCCTCATTGGTAAGGGCTCCCATGAAGAGTCAACACAGTCTGGCTCATTAGGTTGGGGCAGGACCCAGTCTCTCTCCCGTGCATTAAGAATGAACATGGCATCCCACCATAGGGAATGGGCTCCAACACACTATCTCATGTACAGGGATTATGTCATGGTCCTAGTGCCACAAAGCATGGCATCCCACCCTAAGGAATGGGCTCCAACAAGCTAGCTCATGTACCAGGTTTATATCGTGGTCCTGCTGCCAGGGCCCCTCTGATAGTCCAAGCTTCACAACTGAGACAACTGTTTTTTAAGTAAAATGTTACATCAGCTTTATGTTTCTGATAATTAGGTAGTATGTGTCCACTACAAAACATTTAGAATCTAAAGAAAAAGACATCAAAGAAAACAAAATTTGCATGACCTTCTACCAGATTATACAATATAAACTTTCCCTGAAGTCAAAATTATGACACAAACACAGCTTTATTAGTTCTTTCTACTTTTAATAATGAGTTATGAACACTTTATTCATGGCAGCAATTATTTTATTTATTTATTTTTCCATTTTTATTTAAATTCTTTAATTACTACTCATATTTACATATCTATTCCTCCCTATTTCTTTGCCCTCCCATCCTCCCATGTTCCCCACCAACCTCCCCCAACCCATCCCCCAACCTGTCCCCAGGGATAGTAAGGCTCTCCACCAGGGACCTTCAGAGTCTGTCATATCATTTGGGGGAGGGCCTAGGCCCTCCTTGCTGTATCTGAGCTGCAATAGTATCCCTCCACAGGGAATGGGCTCCCAAAGTCCATTTGTGCTCTAGGGTTAAAGACTGCCTCCACTGTTAGAGGTCCCATACACTGTCTTGGCCTCCTAGCTGGCACCCACATTCAGAGGGCTTGGTTCGGTCCAATGCTGTTTCCCCAGCTTTATGACTAGGGTCTCCATGCTCTCACTAGGTCAGGTCCACTGTTTCTGTGGGTTTCTGCAGCACAGTCTTGGCTCCTTTGCTCATCCCTCCTCCCTCTCCACAACTGGATTCCAGGAGTATGATTCAGTGCTTATCTGTGGGTCATGGCAGCAATTATTAATCCACACAAATTCAGTGATTGCATGGCTTCTGCCACACGGACATTCTGTTTTACTATCAACCCTTAAGACTTAGGCACTTAGATTATTTCCATTTTTTTTCACAATTATCCATACTAGTGCAGTGGTGAGCATTTTCCTTCACATTTTCCTTCTTCTAACTTTTCCTTCGGGGAAATCTTTTGAAAGCAAGACTGTAGAGCCAGACCTGGAAATACAGCATAGTGGTAAAATGTTTATGCAGCATCTGTAAAGCCCTGAGGACAACCCTCAGCACCACACAGGCATGAAAGTATTACCGGGCTAAGCTGGGTGACGATCATAACCTCTATGGACATCATACATCTAAGTTGCCTTTCAGAAGATTCTAACTCTGTGGAGCAGACCCCCGAGTCTTATGCTATGTAATATGGTAGCCATTGGCTACATGTGACAACTTAAACTTAAATTAAAATAAAATCCAATTAAAAGCACAACTTCTCTTCTCACCAACCACCCACATTTCAAATGTTCAACAGCATGTGCCTATTGGGTAGCACAGATAGAGAAAGTTTCCATCATGGGAGAAAACTCTCCTAGAAGGAGCTGTGGAGGACTAGAGAGAGCACAGAAGTATATTCCACAAACTAAATCAACTTTACAGGAAGTAGGAGGGTGACACAGTCCACTGAAAATGACAGAAGGGCATTCTGATCCCAGGATGGAAGGGTTTACCATCTGGGTAAGACAGTTGGGGTAGGTGTCTCTGAGGTGACATTTCACCAGTGACCCACAGGAAGACTGTATGAGGGAAGAGAGTTCCAGGCCCAAGGAAACACCTCAAGGCAAGAGTGTGCATGGCCTTGTTTGAGGAAAAGCAAAGAATGAGGTGTCATGATGTGTACCCACAGCCCCAGGTACTTGGGAGGGTAATGCCAGGGGGTTGTTTGAGGCCATCATTTCAAGACCAGTGTGGGCAACATAGCAAGCTAATGGAAGGAAGAGGAGAGGTGGGAGGGGAGGAGGGAGAAAAGAGAGACAGAAAGAGACAGAGAGAGGAGAGAGGGAGAGAGAGAGAGAGAGAGAGAGAGAGAGAGAGAGAGAGAGAGAGAAACATTATCTGGCTAGAATAGAGTTAGAATGTTAGAAAGGAAATATTTTTACAAGATCAACTCAGGCCTCAGGAGAGCTGGAGAGATGTTTCAGCTGTTAAGAGCACTGGCTGCTCTAGCAGAGGACCTGTGTCCCATTCCCAAAACCCACATGGTGGCTCACAACCATCTGTAACTTCAGTTCCAGGGGACCTGATGCCCTTCAGGCAACAGGCACATCCATGGTACACAGACATACATACAGTCAAAACATCAATGCATAAAAGAATTTAAAAATACATTCCAAGGGCTTTGTCCTCACCTCTAAGAGATGAAGAATGAGTGCCAGGTTTTGAGTGAGACCTATGATGTGCTTGATACTTGGGTTTTGTTACTGCTGCTTTTTTAAAGCAAGGTCCCACTCTGTAGCCAACAGCAGTCTATAACTTACAGGGTCCTTCCTGCCTCAGTTTCCCAATGATAGACATCTTAAAGAAATGCTTCATCTTTGTATGTAGAAGCCACAAAAGTTGATCATATAGAGGTAGAAAAATACCAGAGGCTGGGAAGAACAGACAGGTGATGAATTTGGGTGACAGGGACAAGAATAAAGGAGACAGCTAAACAGAAGTTCTCATGCTAGAGCACAGTAGGGCAAATGCGATATATACAATTTATTATATATTTCATAATAGCTACCAGAGAGGATTTTGAATATTTCCCAACACAAAGAAGTGCTGGATGCTTGATGTGATGCAAACGCTAATTATCTGGACTTGATCATTCTTTACAGGAGGCATGAGCCAAGCATTCCGCCATGCCCAACTAATATGCCCAGTCATTATCTGCCGACCAGAATCTTTCTCTCTCTCTCTCTCTCTCTCTCTCTCTCTCTCTCTCTCTCTGTGTGTGTGTGTGTGTGTGTGTGTGTGTGTGTGCGCGCGCGCGTGCGTGCACGCGCGCAGAGGTTCAGTACTTAATTCTGTCCTTTCACTTTGTTGAGGCTAGGTCTGTCTTGTTCCTGCCTCTCTGTATATTTCAGGTGAGCTGGCCAAGGGACTTCCTAACAATTCTCTTGTCTCCATCTCTCATCTCAAGGTAGGAGTGCTAAGAGTACAGATGTGAGCCACCACATCGAACTTTTTTGTGGGCTCCAGGGGGTCAAACTCAAGTTGTCAAGCTTTCGTGGCAAATATTTTTACCTGCAGAGCCATCTTGCTGGGCCTCAATTCCAATTTAAAAAAAAAAAAGAAAGAAAAAAATCCCAAATAGATTATTATATACCTGCAAAAGAAAAACGTTGTCTACCAGATTGAGGAGAAATGGTTGGGGACCCAAGGGACAAGGGCAGAAGCTGAGAGATGGATAAGGAGAGAGGTGCACTAATCCAGGGGAAATGTTAGAGGCAGGGCTCCAGATGACACAGGCACTGAGAAGTGATGGAATTCAGGGTCTAGTTTGAGGGTGGGATCCTGAGAGATGGCAGGTGGAGATGGGAATCACTCTGAGTATGACAAAGTACAGATTCTGGGAGACAGCACCACTGAATCATTAAGAGAAGCAATGAAGCAAGCTGCCTTGGAGCTAGAACTAGGGTCTGAGTAGGAGATCATTTGGTCAAATTGGACAAGTTCTTTTCCAGTCACCTACAGCTTCCTGACAATGAGAGGAAGGGAAAGGAGGTGGAGGAGGCTGTTTTCTCCAGGGACAGAGGGGAAACTTCACTACAAAGAGCTGGAAAGGGCCCAAAGAGTCATATTTTGTTGCACACTATCTGCAGCTCAAACAGCTTTGTCATGATGGGCCTGTTTGTCATAGATCAGTTAGTGGGTAGATTGCTCCGGTAGCAAATGGAGATTCAGACAATGCCAGAGACGATAATGGTGCCTGAATGCTGGCAGGCGCTAATCAGGACTCAGCAATGACTGTGTCATGCAGATTGAAGTGCGAGCATTTGGAGTTATTACTCAAGGCTTGTCTCTGCAATTAGATGATTGCATAACCTTAATATGATCAATCCCGCCGGATGTGAATTGTGCAGCTGTAACCACAAAAGAAAGTGGCGTTTCTGTTTTCTTGTTGAACACAAACATTATATATGCGCAAGTCATAATTTTATAATGGCTGCTTTTGGCAAAGAAGAGCCTCGGCAGTCAGAAGATGCAATTGAGAAAAAAAATATATACAATAGGAGCTCTTAAAGAGCCGGTCATAATGTCAGCCTTTGCCTTGGGAAACATTGCTTTGCGGATCTCTCTCTCTCTCTCTCTCTCTCTCTCTCTCTCTCTCTCTCTCTCTCCTTTGTACCCATCAATTTGAGGCCAGGAAGTTGGGAAACTTAGAAGCCATCTTGAGCCCTCCCGGGACAACACGGTTTGTGCTCACACATGCACCATGGAGGATGTCGGAGGGAATCAGCTTGACATTCATCAGCAATTGCACAGCACACCCCGTTCATCAAGCCTCATTGTTCTGAGGGGACGTGAGCTGCGACTCTGGCTCTTGAGTTCCCAGATCCTTGCAGAAATCTTCACCCGCCCCCCAAGGCCCTGCTCAAGGGACTCCAAGGACACAGCCCTCAGATGCCTTCTGCCTTTCATGCCCTGTCTGCCTTGGGGACAAAACAATAAGGAGACCACATTAAGTAGGTGCCAAGATTTCTCCTCTGTCTCTGCCCTATTTCCAAGGGAGACAAATTCTGAGGATGGAAAACACCTGGAGGTGAGGAATTATTTTTATTGTCATTGGAGATGATGGTCATGAAAGGAGAGACTGAGTGAAGAAAAAGTGGATGACAGGAAACGAGAGAAGGGAGACATTAAAGAATAACACATTCTCAAGTTTGTCCAAAGATGAAACCTGGTGGCCAAATGAGTGAATGACTAAGACTGTGTTCATGTGCATATGCGCACGTATGCCAATAGCATCTGATCAGAGCTGGAGTTTCAAACTAGCGTTAAAGCCAAGCAGCATGTCCTAGGAAGCAGACATCAGTGTTGTTTGTTTGTTTTACTCTTTACTCTTCTGGGTGGCCCCACACCCAGCTCCCAACTAAATCACACGTGGACGGAGGTTTATTTTTACTTATAAATGCCCGGCCTTAGCTTGGCTTGTTTCTAGCCATCTTTTCTTAATTTAAATGATCCCAGCTACCTTTTGCCTCTGGGCTTTTTCCTTTTCTTATTTCTATAATCTTACTTTCACTCTTACTCTGTTATGCCAAGTTCATGAGGCCCCAAAAAATACCAAGGAGCCATCTCATTGATGTAAACACATAACATTTAATGTTACAAGCGTTGGTAGGGACCCTGTCCAGCAAACTGGCACAGCAGCTGCAGGAAAAGGGTGCCTAGCCTCAATTGTAAGGGGTTTATAAAGAAAAAAACCACAATCAGGGTGGTATGTGCCTTGGCTGTTCCTGATTGGGTAAGAGTAGGTGATCTTTGGATTCACTGACGTGGGGGCTAGGGGAATTTCAAAATTGTTACTAACAGTTGTCCACAAGAACAGTTGTGACGAAAAGATGTTATTTACCAAAATTAGTCATTGCTTCAACACCAGGATGGGGTCACTTTGCCTGGGGTGGGCACAGTTTGGGTGCTCCTTGGAACTGTTTATGGTTCCTTGGCTGGAGCTGAATCAACCTTGTGCCAAAGGGAATTTTTCAGGGTGGTTTTTTCTGAGGATGGAGTTAACTCCATCTTCTCCAGTTTACCTTGCTCTTACAACTCCATGGCTGACAGGCTAGCTGGGTGGCTGCCCCTGACTTCTTCCTCTCCTTGTTCTATTGCTCCTTCTTCTTCCAGATTTCTCCTATTTATATCTTCTGTCTTCCAGCCCCGCCTATCATCTCTCCTGCCTCACCATTGACTGTTCAGCTCTTTATTAGAGCACCAGGCGTTTTAGACAGGCAAAGAATCACAGTGTAACAGAGTTAAACAAATGCAGCATAAACAAAAGCAACACATCTGGAACACATGCATCTGGAACAAATGTTCTATAGCATAAACGAATGTAACACACCTTAAAATAATATTCTACAACACGTAATGATGGAGGTTCTAACTCAGGACCCTTACTGGAAGCTGGTCTTGAGGTCCACACCCACAAGACTGAGCAGAGGGAGACACAGGGGGTG